GTAATCGAAGCTAGGGTCGGTACATGGGAAGTCAGACACTGAATATACGTAATAGTAGGCAAATAGAAAACTCAAAGAACTAGGGCGTTGCTCAGGCAACACAGGCAAACTGGGAGGTGGGCCAGGAAGTGATAAAAGGCAAAGGAAATATAAACCCTCAGAATAGCAGGCAATGGCCATAGGTAAGCACAGAAGCCAGACAACACATGTAAAGGAATCACAGCTCAAGGAGAACCACTGCAGCAAGGAGGTGAGAAATACAGTGCCTTGAAAAAGTATTCATACCCCTTGAAATTTTCCACATTTTGTCATTTTACAACCAAAGACGTAAATGTATTTTCTTGTTCAAACAATTTTATTAACAATAAACAGGAATGACACAAACAAGGAGACATCGTTAATGTATACTAGGCATTAAAGTGACAGTAGGACATAATAAAATAAATGAGGGTCAAGGCATTAATGCCTATACATTTCCAATGGAAACAGGTAAATAAAAATCAACAACAGATCACAATATGGTGTCAGCCAAGCATAGCAATGTCTCCCAAGTGCATTAAAGAAATAGGGGGAAGTTTTGAGGAGGTCAGACAGGGGCGGAAGGGGGGGGGGAAGGGGAAGAAGAACAACAACCATGACTCCATGAACATTCATCAAGTTTACAACAGGCGCTACGCACGAAGGGCTATTGACTATATCCTTGGCGTACAGTACAGAACTCAAGGGAGAAGTAGTGATTCGTCAAAGTTGGACGGGAGGAAGCGCTCTACCCAAGGGCTCCATATGCGCAGGAATTTAGGGATTGTGTCAAGAACTGTGGCTTCCACTTTTGCGTGTATCATGGCTTGTGTTATTCTGGTTTTGACGGCCACGACACTTAGGGTAGGGGATTTCCAAGACTTCGCTATAACCTGTTTAGCCGCTGTCGTGACTTGCATAAGGAGCTTGAATTGCGAGTTGGAGATGCCAGGAGGGCATTGATTGAGTAGGGCTGTTGTTGGGTCGGGCCGTATAGTGATAGTGCTAAATGTAGATATCATGGTGAAAATTTCATCCCAAAAGGTTCGGGCTACAGGACAGTCCCACCATATATGGTAATGTGTTCCCAGATCCGTACAGCCTCTGAAACAAATGGGCGAGTAATTAGGGGTAAATTTTGCGATTCTCGCTGGGACCAAGTACCAGCGGGTTAAAACTTTATAATTCCTTTCCAATGCTACAACATTCTGCGAAGACGATTTTGTGTTGGCCCAAATGTGGTCCCAATCAGACGGGTCGAATTTCTTACCTAGATCCACTTCCCATTTATGGGTATATAGAGGGGGGGACGTGGTGGTCGAAGTGGCGAAGAGTGAGTATAAGCAGGAGATAAGCCCATGTCTATGAGGGTCTTTGCAACACGCTCGTTCAAAGAGAGACATGGTGTCTGGCCGATTGGTTATTGTAGCGTAGGGGGCGTAAAAGTGTTGTAGCTGCAAGTATCTAAATATCTCGGAGGCCGGGAGGAAGGCTATGCGTTTCCCGCAGCGAGGCAAAGGATTTAAACTTATTCCTCTGTAGGAAATGATGCGTACGGAGCAAATTAGCAGAGGACCAGGCTTTAAATAAAAGGGGTGTCTGCCATGCCGGGGGAAAAGCTGGGTTTCGTAGAAACGAGAGCATAGGATTATGTAGTGATTGGAGGAGATAACGGGTTTTCAGTTTATCCCATAAGGATAAAAAGTGAGAGGTGATGGGTTGGTTATAGAGCGGTAGAGCGGTCTATTGGCCTCAACCAGAGTAGGTTAGCGGTGGATAAGGGATCACATTCTATTGATCCAAGTGCAACCCATTGAGGGATTTCAAAGGTTGCATGATATTTAGGTAATTGGGCTAAATGCGCTGCTTGATAATATTTGCCGATGTCAGGTATGCCTAGACCTCCTTCGAGTTTAGGGCGGTATAGGGTGGAGTGGGGTATACGAGGGCGAGTATTGCCCCATACATAGGAAAAAGATGCGACGCAGTAGTGTGCGGAGGTAATGAGGGGGGACTGGGACTGGAAGGACTCTAAACAGATAGAATTTTTGGGAGGATTGACAACTTGATAACTGCTATATTCTGCCTAGCCATGCGAGGGGGAGAGAAGACCATTTGGACAGAAGAGCAGAAAGATGGTTTAGCATCGGAAGATAGTTAGCTGCGTAAAGGTCTGATAACTTAGGAGTCAGTTTTGATTCCCAAGAAAGGGATATGACACTGTGACCAAGGGAATGGTAAAAATCTGTTTCAGATGCGTCAACTCTATAGGGGGGAGAGAAATGTTGAGTGCTGTAGATTTATTCGGGTTTATTATTAGACCAGAAAGCGAGCCAAACGCCTCGAGAAGCCAGAGTAGGGAGGGAGAGGAAGTCAAGGGAGACGTGAGAAAGAGCAAGACGTCATCCGCAAAGAGACATAACTTATGGTGTGTGCCCCCTATCTCGATTCCCCTGACATCCGGGTTAGCTCTAATTAAGAGGGCTAGGGGCTCTATAGCCAGAGCAAAGAGCAAGGGGGACAGAGGGCAGCCCTGTCTTATGCCTCTGGAGATCGGGAATTGAGCTGACCTGTGCCCCAGATACCTAATTCTGGCCGAGGCTCTCGATACAGCGAGAAGATCCAGGTTAAAAAGTGTGGGCCAAAACCCCACCGATGCAAAAAATAATTGAGGTATGGCCATGACACTGTATCAAATGCTTTCCGGATATCTAGGACAGGAAATATGCGGGAATATTACGAGATCTTGCTAAGTTTGCCAAAAGGGATGCACGTCTGATGTTATCTCCCGCTTGTCTAGTTGGGATAAAGCCCACTTGGTCACTATGAATTAGAGAGCCAATATACAGGTTAAGACGTGAAGAAAGGACTTTTGCTAGCAGTTTGATGTCAATGTTAAGGAGAGAGATTGGCCTATAATTGGACCACTGCGTGTCATCAGAATTCGGCTTTGGGATCATTGAAATGTTCGCTTGCACTGTTTCATGATTGAAGATTTTGGCCAGATAGTAAAGCGTTTAAAAGCATTAGTGAGGATAGGTGTGAGGAGATGAGCAAATTTTTTATAGTAAGTGGCTGAGAAGCCATCTGGCCCTGGGCATTTACGTAGCTTTAGACTTTTAAATAGCGTCTAAGGTTTCGGCACTCTGAGAGTTTCAGGAAAGAAAATGGAAAGTTAAAAGGGTATCAGCTTGTGCGGGTTCGAAAGGTGTGGAAGAGGAGTAAAGCTGTGACAAGTGTTTATGGAACGTCCGTAAAATGTGTTCCGGGTTACTAGTGAGGTTGCCAGAGGAGGTGCGTATCCTGAGGTTTAGTGAGCTGGTCGAGCCTGCGAAGTGAGAGAGCCAGGAAATGTGTTGGGTTTATTTGCCCTAGTATAGTATTTATGCCTAGATCTACGGAGTGAGAGTTCCGCTTGGTCTGTGAGAAAGAGATTGTCAGGGCTCCCGGTATGACCCAGAGGTGTGTGACTGACGCAGGGAAACGCAGACTTCAGATATGTGATAAACAATATAATTTATTAACACTAACAATACAAACATAAACGCAGTGCAATACTAAAACATAATACAGTGCAAACAAACCAAACCAACCACCCACAGATAACAGTACATACAAGCAAGCATCGTCAGGCAGGCCGGGTCAATATCAATAGGGCAGGTAGGTACAGGGGGAGCAAGCGGAGATTGGTCGGGGTCACAGGCCAGGTTCAGCAGGTAGCAAGCAGCGTAGTACAGAGGGTCAGGCAGAGGGATGGTCAGGGTCACAAGCCAGGGATCAGAACAGGTAGCAAGCAGCGTGGTACAGAGGGTCAGGCAGAGGGATGGTCAGGAGCGAGCCGGGATCAGAGCAGGAGAAGTCAGCAGCAGCGGTTTCAGATCAGGCAGGGTCAGCAAAGGAACAGAAACAGGATGCAGGACAGATACAGGGCCCAGGACAAACACAACACCAAGGCAGAGTCTGCAGGTCTGGCCATCTCTTAAATACACCAGTATAATCAGTTCCAGGGTGTTAGCTGGCTGAAAGGTTGAGTCTCTGATTGCTGGGAGCACCCGCTGGCCAGCCCTGGTACTGCAGATCAAAAGGCAGGTGAGTCCCACCATTGCTGGCCAGTCCATTCCTGACAGTACCCCCCCCCCTCAAGGAGCGGCCTCAGGACGCTCCAAACAGTCCTAGCTGGGCAAAATGTTCCACCGCCCGGGTCTGGTAACTGGCGGGATATCCAAAGACTGGCACACCGGGCAGGACTCCGGGCAGCGGCACACCGGGCAGCGGCACACCGGGCAGAGGCACACCGGGCAGAGGCACATCGGGCAGACGCACATCGGGCTGGGACTCCGGGCAGAGGCACACCGGGCAGAGGCACACTGGGCAGAGGCACATCGGGCTGGACTCCGGGCAGAGGCACATCGGGCTGGACTCCGGGCAGAGGCACATCGGGCAGAGGCACATCGGGCTGGACTCCGGGCAGAGGCACATCGGGCTGGACTCCGGGCAGAGGCACATCGGGCTGGACTCCGGGCAGAGGCACATCGGGCTGGACTCCGGGCAGAGGCACATCGGGCAGAGGCACATCGGGCAGAGGCAGGCACATCGGGCTGGACTCCGGGCAGAGGCACCATCGGGCAGGACTCCGGGGGCAGAGAGGCACATCAGGCTGGACTCCGGGCAGAGGCACATCGGATTACCAGGCGGAGCAGCAGGCACCGAGCCACCAGGCGGAGCAGCAGGCACACCGAGCCACCAAGCGGAGCAGCAGGCACCGAGAGCCACCAACCAGGCGGGGCGACAGGCACCGAGCCCCCAGGCGGGTGGCGACAGGCACCGGGCCCCCAGGCGGGGGCGACAGGCACCGGGCCCCCAGGCGGGGCGACAGGCATCGGGCCCCCAGGCGGGGCATCAGGCATCGGGCCCCCAGGCGGGGCGACAGGCATCGGGCCCCCCAGGCGGAGTGGTGGGCGCCGGACCCCCAGGCGGAGCAACAGGTCTCGGGCCCTCAAGCGGAGCGGCGGGCGCCGGACCCCAAGGTGGGCAACAGGTCTCGGGCCCTCAGGCGGAGCGGCGGGCGCCGGACCCCCAGGCGGAGCGACAGGTCTCGGGCCCTCAGGCGGAGCGGCGGGCGCCGGACCCCCAGGCGGAGCGACAGGTCTCGGGCCCTCAGGCGGAGCGGCGGGCGCCGGACCCCCCAGGCGGAGCCGGCACCGGTAGACGGCTCTCGGGCCCCCAGGCGGAGCGGCGGGCGCCGGACCCCCAGGCGGAGCGACAGGTCTCGGGCCCTCAGGCGGAGCGGCGGGCCCCGGACCCCCAGGCGGCGAGCGACAGAGTCTCGGGCCCTCAGGCGGAGCAGTGGGTGCCGGACCCCCAGGTGGAGCGGTAGGTCTCGGGCCCTCAGGCGCAGCGGCGGCGCCGGACCCCCAGGCGGGAGCGATAGGTCTCGGGCCCCTCAGGCGGAGCGGCGGGCGCCGGACCCCCAGGTGGAGAGACAGGTCTCGGGCCCTCAGGCGGGGCGGCGGTGCGCCGGACCCCCAGGCGGAGCGGCGGGCGCCGGACCCCCAGGCGGAGCGACAGGTCTCGGGCCCCCAGGCGAAGCGGCGGGCACCGAGTCACCAGGCACGACAGTGGGGCTCCGAGTCAACTGGCATGACCGCTGGCACTGGGTCAGACATGGATCGTCTGGCTGGACAGCGGGCATCGGGTCACCAGGCATCAGGTCATTTGGCTCGACAGCGGGCCACCGCGTCATCTGGCAAGGCAGTGGGCTCCGAGTCAACTGGTATGACCGCGGGCACTGGGTCAGACGTTGGATCGTCTGACTGGACAGCGGGCATCGGGTCACCAGGCATCAAGTCATTTGGCTCGACAGCGAGCACCGCGTCATCTGGCAAGGCAGTGGGCTCCGAGTCAACTGGCATGACCGCAGGCACTGGGGCAGACATTGAATCGTCTGACTGGACAGCGGGCATCGGGTCACCAGGCATCAGGTCATTTGGCTCGACAGCGGGCACCGCATCATCTGGCAAGGCAGTGGGCTCCGAGTCAACAGGCACGACAGTGGGCACCGGGTCATGAGGTACCGGATTGTCTGGCTCGACAGCGGGCATCGGGTCACCAGGTATGACAGCGGGCACTGGGTCACCAGGCATCAGGTCATTTGGCTTGCCAGCGGGCACCGCGTCATCTGGCAAGGCAGTGGGCACCGGGTCACCAGGCATTGGATCGTCTGGCTCGACAGCGGGCCATCGGGTCACCAGGTATGACAGCGGGCACTGGGTCACCAGGCATCAGGTCATTTGGCTTGCCAGCGGGCACCGCGTCATCTGGCAAGGCAGTGGGCACGGGTCACCAGGCATTGGATCGTCTGGCTCGACAGCGGGCATCGGGTCCACCAGGTATGACAGCGGGCACTGGGTCACCAGGCATCAGGTCATTTGGCTCGCCAGTGGGCACCGCGTCATCTGGCAAGGCAGTGGGCACCGAGTCACCAGGTACGACAGCGGGCTCTGAGTCAATTGGCACGACAGCGAGCACCGGATCAGGTACCCCGGATCATCTGGATCAACAGTGGGCATCGAGTCAACTGGCCTAATAGGATCGTCAGGCTGGATCAGTTCATCACGCTGGGTAGAGGCATCAGGCTGAATGCCGGCGTCCGGCTGAGTAGAGGCTTCAGGCTGAGTAGAGGCTTCAGGCCGAATAGAGGCTTCAGGCCGAGTAGAGGCTTCAGGCCGAGTAGAGGGATCAGGCCGAGTAGAGGCTTCAGGCCAAGTAGAGGCTTCAGGCCGACTAGAGGCTTCAGGCTGAAGAGAGGCATCAGCTGCGTACAGGCATCAGGCTGAGTACAGGCATCAGGCTGAGTACAGGCATCAGGCTGAGTAGAGGATTCAGGCTGAGTAGAGGCTTCAGGCTGAACCACGGAAGGCAGGTTCACCGGTTTGGATACTGGCAGGATGGTATTGGTTGGAAAGAATTTTCGCTTTTTTTCTGGTTTTAACTACTGGAGCACTGCAAGTAAACGCAGGTCTGCAAACGAATGGAGCAGCTGGAGACAGAGAAGAACTGGAGGATGGAACAGGAGAGGGAGCAGTTGCTACAGAGGGCTTTTTTACAGGGTTAAAGGCAGGATAGGTGCAGCGAGTGGGAACAGGGTACTGACATGCGGTAGACAGCAGGGCAGGAGGAGCTGTTGGGAATGCAGGAATAGAGCTTTGAGGAAATAGATTTAGAAGCAGGACTGGGTTTTTGTAAGCTGACTGAGGCTGGGTGCAACAAGTCTGTCCATGTCTGCAGTATGGGTTGAACAAAGCTGAGCTTACACAAAGCCTGTCTGACCAAAGACTGCACTGCATTTATACAATCTCTTAGTATACCTGTGGTGAACATGTGGAATAAACGCTCCAGAAAGTAACCCACATCATCCTCTAATAACCACACCAGGGACTCTACCTGGTCTGCACTAAATGGTGGCAAAACTTCATCCCTGCATTCGGGGGGTACCAGATGAAACCAACTCAGCACAAACCTCAATCAAAGGCTGCACCTCAGAGAACTCTGTGCCCTGATCTACTAGAACATGAGCGAGCCGTATACATTCTAGCAGTTCATACCCTGGAATACTCCTTCAGAGTTTGATAAGCATACTCCCTGTCATCAAAAACTAGCAGATATAAATACGCAACCTCATCCAGATCCATCCTTCCCATCAACAAGCCAAGATGGCTTCCCTGTGCAGCCACTTCTGGTCAGGATTGGCCTTGGTGTAATGTCAGGGCTCCCGGGTATGACCAGAGGTGTGTGACTGACGCCAGGGAAACGCAGACTTCAGATATGTGATAAACAATATCATTTATTAACACTAACAATACAAACATAAACGCAGTGCAATACTAAAACATAATACAGTGCAAACAAACCAAACCAACCACCCACAGATAACAGTACATACAAGCAAGCGTCGTCAGCAGGCCGGGTCAATATCAATAGGGCAGGTAGGTACAGGGGGAGCAAGCGGAGATTGGTCGGGGTCACAGGCCAGGTTCAGCAGGTAGCAAGCAGCGTAGTACAGAGAGTCAGGCAGAGGGATGGTCAGGGTCACAAGCCAGGGATCAGAACAGGTAGCAAGCAGCGTGGTACAGAGGGTCAGGCAGGGGGATGGTCAGGAGCGAGCCGGGATCAGAGCAGGAGAAGTAAGCAGCGGTTCAGATCAGGCAGGGTCAGCAAAGGAACAGAAACAGGATGCAGGACAGATACAGGGCCCAGGACAAACACAACACCAAGGCAGAGTCTGCAGGTCTGGCCATCCCTTAAATACACCAGTATAATCAGTTCCAGGTGTTAGCTGGCTGAAAGGTTGAGTCTCTGATTGCTGGGAGCACCCGCTGGCCAGCCCTGTACTGCAGATCAAAAGGCAGGTGAGTCCCACCATTGCTGGCCAGTCCATTCCTGACAGAGATCTAGGGCCAATCTAGATCGCTCCAGGGCTTCACGGTTGGCAGGCGTAGGAGCCGCCTGGAAGGCTTGATGAGAACGATCATAGGTTTGCTCCAGTAGGAGACGTTGTTGCCTTTTGGTTTTATTTAAGAAGGATGCTTTGCTAATGCAAAACCCTCGCAATACCGGTTTGTGCGCTTCCCATAGCAGGAGAGGGGAAATATCAGGTGACTGATTGAGAGAAAAATAGTCTTTAAGGGCTGCTTCTATTTCTAGACAGTGAGCTGGTAGTTTGCAAGCAAGTTATCATTAATGATCCAAGAGGATTCAGCGGGGGATGCGGCCAACGAAGCCATAGATATGAACACGGCGCAATGGTCAGACCAGGGGATGGGAATTATTTCAGAAGTCAAAAGCCGCGGGGAAGAGGCAGTGGTGACAAAAATATGATCTATCCTAGAGAATGACCGATGGGGGTGAGAATAGAAGGTGTATTGGCGTTTGGTCGGGTTGAGTTCTCACCATGAGTCTATCAAAGAATAACGTTGTAGTATGGATTGGAAGGTTTGTTTAGAAGCAGGGATAGGAGATGGTTGAGGAGATTTGTCGAGAAAGGGATATATTACACTGTTAGAGTCTCCGCCAACAATTAAAGTTCCGCATTTATGGTGATCTATAACCGAGAGTATGTGTGAAAGGAAAAGTAAAGGGTCTTGGTTTGGGGCATAGTATGCAACAATGGTGACATCTACGTCAAGGAGTTGCCCTACTAACAGGAGGTAACAACCCTCCGGGTCTTTGATTTCGGTGCATGGCGTGAAAGGTGTTGTGCGATGGAAGGCAATCAGTACCCCCCTACGTTTGGCGGTGGTAGAGGCTGTATAGACCTGAGGATATCGAGGACCAAAAAACTTAGGAGTGGAGTTGGTAGTAAAGTGCGTTTCCTGAAGACAGACCACGTGGGCTTTAAGTGTAGCGAAGGTTTGGAAAGCCTTATTACGTTTCTGCGGGATATTGAGGCCCTGAACATTCAGGGTAAGGACATTTAACGAGCCCATGGGAAAAGTGCATAGTGGTTTGGATAGCATGGCATCACCGCCCAGGGTGGAGCCTGACGATTGCTGCGGGGGATAAGATTGTTGCGGAGTATGTTGTGCAAGGTCATGGAGTCATGTTGGAGGGAGGGAAGAGGGGTACGGTAGGAGAGAGGTAATAGGAAAAAAGGGGTGTAGGAGGCCATTTAAGGCCTAAAAAAGGTGGGCTCCCAAGGACACTCTGGATCAGGGAGCAATAGTAGCCCAAGTGTTATTAAATAACCAATAACACAGGGGCTAAGGTGGAGTGTGCAGGTACGCGGACCGTAAGGATGACAGCAATGTAATTACTAAATGATGGCAAGGTCCTGGTAGAAAAAACAGGTATATTAAAAAAAAGACATTCGAAAAAATCAGGGCATCCCAGACTCAGACGGCACTAGTAGTGCAAGTGAAACCTCATGGGTGCCGGGGTACGACATCGCATGCCGTCAAAGCCTAGGCTCCCAGATATAAACTAATATGGAACCCAGGAGGGGGGGCGCAGAACAATCCCCATGTTGTGGGGCAAACCAAGATTTAATGGGGTAGAGGGGAGAAAGAATATTAACGGTGTTAACCGTGATGATAATGATAACCAAAAGAATATATCGTATGGTGTGTGCGGCAAAAATAGGGGGGAAAAAGAAGGATAAACGTGGGACACAGTTCAGTCCATGGTATCTTGTGATGATAGGCCTGGAGACGAAAAACGCCCTCTCTTGTGGAAGTTGAATTGACCATCAGTTGTACGCGCGGGGAAGGACTTCCGCGGCGAGCTGGATGTGGACCTCCGCTTGGTGCTCTCTGATGGCGTCGCTGGGGGATGTAGTTGCAGGGTCCGCAGGGTGTCTAAAAGGTCCTCCGGAGTCTTGGAGGTGTAATCCCGACACTGGCGTCGGAATCGCACTGCAAAAGGGAAGCTCCACCTATATTGTATTGCATGTTGTTTGAAGTACTTGTAGGTGGGGTTTCATAGCCCTGCGCTTGGCGATGGTTGTGGGGCATAGATCCTGGAATAATTGGTAGGTATGACCTTGGAACTGTAGAGATTCTGCGTTACGGGCAGCTTGTAGAAGTTGCTCCTTGGTACGGAAAAAGTGAAGCTTGGCTATAATGTCACGTGGCGGACCGTCAGTGCGTCGTGGTGCTAACGCCCTGTGAACTCTATCCAATTCCAATCTATAATCGATTGGGATAGCTGGGGCAAGCTCTTTGGAACAGAGCTGTTATCGTTGATTGAACATCAACGATCGTTTCCGGAAGGCCACGGATACGTAGATTTGAGCGCCGTGCTCGGTTTTCAAAGTCCTCTAGTCGTGTTAATAATGTAGCGTTTTCGTCACGCAGGAGATCAAGGTCATCCGTATGCGTCTGAAGTGAGGCGTCAAGACCATCCACCCTCTGTTCTAGGTCCGCAGTGCGTTGTCCTAGCTCACGGATTTCCCTAGACAGCATGGCAGTGATGCGGTCTGAGGTTTTCTTCAAAGCTTTGTGTAGCATTTGTTCAAAGTGGGTTAACAGGTCAGGAGGTGTAAGGTCAGACGTCAGGGCTTGTGCAGGGGCATCTGTTTCAGTGTCAGACTCACCCTCAGATGTGCAAGGATGGCTGGGCTGCGGATCCTGCAGGGCTGCATATGCCCCTGCTGCTTGCTTGCTTCCACGTGCTGGGGCAGTGGCCATCTTTGTGGAGGCCTTTGCCAGGGCCTCCTTGATGGTTTTGGTGGATGGGGGGACCTGGTGCCGGGGTGCCCCTTTGACCATATTGCAGCTTTTAATGGGGGGGGCTGTTATTCTGATCTCAGCCCCCCCTGCTCTCTCTCCTCTGCCTCCGTTTAGCATGGCAGCGGTGGCGGGCCTATAGACGGCTCACTGCAGGGACGGAGTCCCTTGTCGGATTTCTCCGACTTGCCGCGGAGGATCCGCCTCAGACCAGGGCGGATCAGACCCTGGGAGGATTGCCACGGGGACCGGGTCCCCTCCTTGTGTATTGCGGGCCGGGACCCGCTGCTTCCAGGCACTGTCACCCGACGGGGAGACGGAGCCTCAGCGGGACATGTTCTTCCCGCCGGGCCGGCACTC